GGCCCCGAGGAGCCGGCCGGGCTGTGGGCAGCTCCTGCCTCTTACCTTACCAATGATGCTGCCCACCTCCTGCGGAGACACAAAGAGACGGGAGCAGCCCCATGAGGCGATGATGCTGCGCACAGAGAACCGGCCGGGGTCATGCTCGGGCATCTGCCCTGCGAGGGTTGAGCAGCTGGGGACTCGAGCCGGAGGGGTTCCGCTGCTGCTCCCTGGCTCTGGTCCTGGGCTCTTCCCAGTAGGTGCTGAATCCCGGCACTGGCCAGGCAAATTGCCCCTCCCCCACAATTGCCCCAGGCTCCATCTGCCTCCTCCAGTCCCCCACCCATCACCGTGAGTCCCCATTTCCACCCCAACCCTGCCTCCATCCCTCTGTTCCCCCTTCCCCCACCTCTCGCTCTGACCTCCCCACTCAAGGCCCGGTTTGGCCTGCGGCTTGCAGAGCAAAGGGCTAGTCCCGCACCCAGCTGTCCCTCGGCACAGCACAGGCGCTGGCTGGCCGGGAGGCTGCGGCAAACAATACTCGTACCTTTGGCGCTGCTGTCAGCGCGGCTGCAAAACACAAGCCCTGCCCTAGAGAAACGGCGAGCGTTTGGCCGTGTGTGGGGGTCTGTGCGCGCCCATTGGTTTGGCTTTCCTCGCGCTGAAGGGCTTCGGGGAAAGGGGTGGGTGAGGCCAAACTCTGAGCCCCCCCCTTCCAGCACAATGATCTCTGGGGGAGCTCAAACGCCTTCCACTTAGCCAGTCCCTTAAGAGGGGCTTTGCCAGGCCCAGTAGCTGTGAGGCAGCAGGCAGGGATGTGTCTGGGTTGGGAGGGCAAAGGATGGGTAGACATGGTGGTTCTCTCAAAAGAGCCGTAAAAGGGCTAGAGAACATGCGCTGGGGGGGGAGGCTGAAAGAATTGGGCTTGTTTCGTTTGGAAAAGAGAAGACTGAGAGGGGACATGAGAGCGATTTTCTAGTCTCTAAAAAGGTGTCCCGAGGAGGAGGGGGAGAAACTGTTCTCCTTGGCCTCTGAGGACAGGACAAGACGCAAGGGGCTTAAATTGCAGCGAGGGAGGTTGAGGTTGGACATTAGGGAAAACTTCCTGTCCAAGTGGTTCCACACTGGAATAAATTGCCCGGGGGGTTGTGGAATCTCCATCCCTGGAGAGACTTAAGAGCAGGTTGGACAGACGCCTGACGGGGATGGGCTAGACCAGTGTTGCTTAAACTGTGTTCCATGGTACACCAGTGTGCCGCGGAGAACAGAATTCAAAATGGCCACCCTTAAAGGGACAGGTGACCTTTTTTCTTTTTTTTTCTCCCTCGCTCATTAACTTCCTCCATTCCTTTTTTTCTCAATAACTTTCACCCTTTTTTTTGTTTCTTTTTTTTTCTCCCTCGCTCATTAACTTCCCCCAATCCTTTTTTTTCCTCAATAACTTTCACCCTATTTTTGTTTTGTTTTGTTTTGCTTAACAAAAAATCCCTGGTGTTCCTCATAAAAAAACAATTGTTTGGTGTTCCTCGGTCTTAAGAAACACTGATCTAGACGGTGCTTGGTCCTGCCATGAGGGCAGGGGACCGGACTCGATGACCTCTCGAGGTCCCTGCCAGTTTTAGTGTTTTGTGGTTCTGTGTTTCTAGGATCCATACAGACGGGCAGGGGGCGGGGAGGGGGGCAGAAACTCCTAAAAGGGGCTTTAAAATGGATTACAAATTAAAAAGTCAAGGCATGCTATGGAGAAAATACTCTTTTTTTTTTTTAAAGTCATCAAAAGACTTTGACAGCAGCACTTTAATTCAGCTGGGTTTTTTCGTCTAACCCTGCAGACCTCTGTCTGTCTGAGCTGAATCGTTGAGGTCGGCAGATCCTCGTGGTCCAGGTTAGATTTGGGGGCACGTGTAATGACCTCACGTTACACAGCCACGTGCAAAAAGAGCATTTTCCCCTCTTAATAGTTGCCAGGGGACTCTTTGCCCTGCCTCGAGTTCGGCTTTTATCCCCCCAGTCTGCGCACGCGGACCCCTTGTGGGACTGAGCCACAGGGCCTCTGCGGCTTCGCTACGAAACGTGATCCCGGCCCGAGGCGCCACGAACTTCTCTCGGCTCTGCTCTCACGGGGTCAGGGGTTCGTTCTTGTTCAGTGGGATTAGCGTGGGGGAGCACAATGAACCGTGGGCGCTGCACAGGTGTCTGGCTGTGTAAGCCCAACGCAGACCCCATTCGCCCAGGGGTCCCAGCCGGAAGGAGCCCTCTGCGGCACAGTGTTGCTTTCCCGGGGGTCCCAGCCGGAGGGGCTCACTTACCTTCCCATGCATGAGCATCCGCAGGGTGAGAGTGATGTTGAGCTCTGGCTCCTCCGGGACAATGAACCGTGGGCGCTGCACAGGTGTCTGGCTGTGTAAGCCCAACGCAGACCCCATTCGCCCAGGGGTCCCAGCCGGAAGGAGCCCTCTGCGGCACAGTGTTGCTTTCCCGGGGGTCCCAGCCGGAGGGGCTCACTTACCTTCCCATGCATGAGCATCCGCAGGGTGAGAGTGATGTTGAGCTCTGGCTCCTCCGGGCCGGCGTCTGAGCCGCTCAGCCTGTCGGGCGACGCCATGGGGTGGGAATGCATGAACCTGGCAAACCAGCTCCGGGGGCTAGGAGGTGTCTGAGCAGCCGAATCTGCAGAGAGGGAGAGCAGGGGGCCTTAGAGGCGTCTGCAAGCCCCGCGTGGACCTGGGCCGCGCGCTTGCTGGTGCTACGGCCGCCACCCTGCTCTCCCCCGTGCTGCCCGGCGCTCCGGAGACGAGGGTCT